ACAGACACATATATATATATATATATATATATATATCAGAGGGTTCAAAAGACACTGGTATAACTTTTACTAAATGTTATACCGCTCAATAATTTTATATTAAATGTAAATTTTGTAAATTTAACTGTTAAATTGAAAGTTTATATTATTTAGATCGTATATACGAAATTTTATATTAATCTAAGATGATTTGATATTTCATTCTTATAAAACAAAATTGACGTAATATATTCATTTCAAAATATACTAAAATATGAATATTTTGATCATCTTCAAGTTGTTCAATTTCAATAAAATTTGATATACACGTATAAAGTAATATGAAATTTCAATTTAATAGTTGAATTTTTAAAATTCACATTTAATATAAAGTTATTGAAAGTTGTAATATTTAGCAAAACTTAAACCCTCCTCTCCCTCTCTCTATATAGAGAGAGGGGAGGGTTTAACTTTTACTAAGTATTACACTGCTCAATAATTTTATATTAAATGTGAATTTTAAAAATTTAACTGTTAGATTGAAAGTTCATATCTCGTAGATCATATATGCAAAATTTTATATTAATTCAAGATAATTTGATACTTTATTTTTATATAACAAAATTGACGTAATATATTTATTTCAAAATACACTAAAATATGAATACTTTGATTACCTTCAAGTTTTTGTTTAATTTTAACAAAATTTGATATACACTAATAAAGTGATATGAACTTTCAATCTAACGGTTAAATTTACAAAATTCATAATTAATATAAAATTATTGAGCAGCGTAATATTTAGTTATAATTATACCGATGTAACTTTTACTAAGTATTACACTGCTTAATAATTTTATATTATATTAATTATAAATTTTGTAAATCCAACCATTAGATTAAAAAGTTTTAATTGTTGGATCATATATACAAAATTTTATATTAATTCAAGATGATTTGATACTTCATTCTTATAAAACAAAATTATGTAATATGCATTTTAAAATATACTAAAATATGAATACTTTGATTACCTTTAAGTTTTTGTTCAATTTTAACAAAATATGATATAGACATATAAAGTGATATAAACTTTTAATCTAACGGCTGGATTTACAAAATTCACATTTAATATAAAGTTATTGAGGAGTATAATACTTAGTAAAAATTACATCGGTGTTATTATAATCCTCCTCTATATATATATATAGAGAGAGAGAGAGAAATTGAGGAATTTGTTTATTCTAAGAGTAAGTCTAATTAAACTTATCATGTTCAATAGTTCATGTTCTACATCAAATTTTAATGATTTAACCAATGAATTTAAAGTTCTTAATACATAGATTAAGTCTTCAAATTTTTAAAAAATTTGAAAACTATTTGATAATTCATTTCATTAATTTAAATTAATGTATAAAATAATTTTATAATTATCCATCAATTTGAGTTAATAAAATAAAATATCAAATTTTATACATTAATTTAAATTAATGAAATGAAATATCAAATAGTTTTTAAATTTTTTAAAATTTTGCAGATTTGATTTATGCATTAATAACTTTAATTTTAACTTAAATCGTTGAAATTTGATGTAAAATATGAGTTATTGAGCGGAGTAAGTCTAGATACACTTATTCTTAAAATAAAAGATTTCTACATATATATATATATATATATATGTGTGTGTGTGTGTGTGTATGTATATATGAGATTGTTATTTTTTTTAGTTAGAGTATGATAGTAATTTATACTAAAATTTTTGGGGATAAAAAACTCCTTTTGATTCAGATAATTTATAATAAGGATATTTTAATAATTTAAAATTAATTTATTATATTAATTAAAACTTTTTCTCTCTCTTCAACCTTTCCTTTATCGATCAGTCTTGATTTGAGTATCTTCTCTTATCTCTCTTCCTAAATTAAAAAACAGCCAAACTACATGCGGTTCCCTCTCTCAGAGTGACCCTACAATATAACATCTCAGGATAAGGCAATCGTCCAAGAAGATGCCCTATACTTGTTTACACGTGAGATGAACGATTCGGAATTTGTTCAAAGAGGTTTCATGAATGTGTTTGCAAATTGCAATGAGAAAGGGGTTTCAGAGGGAGAACAAAATGGTTTACAACATGAGACTGCGAGAGATAAGAGAAGAGAGAACTGAGTGGGGAAGGAAAGATCATGAAGAGAGAAAAAGTTTCTAATTATTTTAACAAATTAATTTTAAATTACTAGAGTATTCATATTATAAATTAATTGAATAAAAAAAATTAATAATTTTTTTATCCTAAAATTTGAGTGAAAAAAAGGTATGAGTATATTAAAATGACACTGATGTAACTTATATATATATATATATATATTATAATTTTTATTAAGTATTAATCACTTAATAAATTTATATTAAATATGAATTTTATAAATCTAATCATTTGATTGAAAGTTTTTTCCTTTTAGAGTATATATACAAAATTTTATATTAATCTAAAATGATTTGATACTTCATTCTTATAAAACAAAATTGATGTAATATATATATTTCAAAATATAATAAAATATACACACTTTGATTATTTTTAAGTTGTTCAATTTTAATAAAATTTAATATACACATATAAAGTTATATGAATTTTTAATCTAACGATTGAATTTATAAAATTTATATTTAATATAAATTTATTGAGCGATATAATGCTTAGTAAAAATTATACCAGTATTATTTGAACTCTTTATATATATATATATATATATATATATATATAAAAGCAGAAGAATACATATATGTTATCGGAGCAAAATAAAATTCGATTATTTACAATGGGCTTCTAAAGATAATTCAAAAGGAGCTTTTCTTCTTTATTATCGGAATCTTCTTTTCTGGATTATAGGGACTTAAGGTTGATTTAACCTTCCATGATCTGAACTTAGCTTTAAGGAATTTTATTTTAACTTTTTTCCACCAAACTTTTTTGACTTTTAGGCATAAGCTTGGTGGATAAGAACCTCCAAATAATGATAGAAATTTATAAATATGCTGAAAGGATATGTGATTTCTCTAATATATTAAAGAAAATTATAGTACAAATAAAGACAAATTAATATTTCAGACTTACAAAAGGAAGTTAACTACTTAAAAGAAAAAAAATAATCTAGTTAAAACATTATATATATATATATATATATGTATGTGTGTGTGTGCACGCTCGCGTGTACTTAAATGCTTTCATTTCATTTAAATCTTTTAATTTCTTTTTTGGTTCGTTCCTGGAGTATCTACCGCCGACAGTAGTGACTAATCTCCTCGCTACGTTGGAGGCACCTCAAAGGGTGGGATAGTTGGCCCCAAGATTTAACGCGGCTGCATACACAAGGCAGGATTCGAACCCCTGACCTTGTTTAAGCGTGGTCAAAGAGAATAATTTATGAGTGAATATCTTATTTTTTTATATATAATGAATGATCTATTATTTAACATATAATAGTTGGATATCAAAATAAAATATATATTTTATTTCCAAAATTTAAATATAATCCCTTTAAATCATTTTTATATTTTTTAATATTATTTTAATTTTTATCTATCTGAATAAATCATTTTATATTTATTTTAATATTTTTTTAACTCTTATTTATCTGAATATATTATTTTTACAATTCATTTAAAATATTTATGAAAAGTATTATCAATAAATTAAAAATAATTTTCTATCATAATATACAATATAATTTGTATGATTTAAATTATTTTTTTATAATTTTAATAATTATAATATTATATATATAGTTATTTATTATAAATTTTAGTGATATAAGTTGAATAATTATCTTGTATATTGTTCAGAGTAAAATGTTGGTACCTTATTAAATAAAAATAAAAAAAGATTTACTCTTAGGATGCACCTTTAAAATTATTTGAGCCATATATATGTAAGTGTTGTAAATTTCTTTTTAGTATTGTATCCGATTTTCATGAATCCAATTTTTTTAAAAAAATAAACAACGAGAAGAAAAGAGAAGTATTAAATGTAAAGAAATTAAGAAAAATTTAACGAATTTTATATGATCTACCAAGCTTGTTATTTTAGTACAGGTATTAAATTTAAGTAAATTTTATAATAAAATAAATTAAGAGAAAGATAAAATAGAGTAAATGGTTATTTAGTCTCCAAATTTGGAAGCAACATTTACAAGTGTTCATGTAAAATTTTAAAAGAAATATCATCTAACTAAACTGATAATATTATATATATATA